GAAGAAACTAATCCTATCATTCCTTCTATTGAATAGTTGAAACTTCATGTGCTGGACAATTTATGTTTATTTTTTCGTTGTTGTACTAGACATTTAAATATTTAATGCTTATTTTTATTTTAATATTATAAGATACAATACTACAAATGATGTTGCTTTCAATTTTTTTGTCATTTCAAATATTACGCTTTGATTACTTTCTTAATTTTATGTATGATTTATATATTTTAATGCCGTATCTGCGCCGTATCCGTATCCTTTATTTTTAAGAATTGACGTGTCCCGTATCCGTATCGTGTCGTATCCGTGTCGCCGTATCCGCATCGGTGCAATATAGATTATACGTTATGCATGTTAATTTTTTTTAACAGTTACCCACTGAGTTTACTTTATAAACTCATTCTATTAAATGAAAATTTTCAGGAAAATTCCAAAGTTTTAGAAAAAGTCAATAGGGAAGAGTTTGTCTATAGAAGACGACATGTAAATGACAACATGTAATTTATGATTTAATACAAATATTTTGTATTAGAAGAAATTTTGAAATAGTGGCTCTTTGGTAAACTTGAGAAAGTTGTATATTGTATTATCTATGAATTATACTGATTTGATTCTACCGTCTGTCTTCAGTTCCCGTCTCGTTAAATCGAGCATCCGGGCCGAGTCGTGATAGTGTCCATAGAATCAAACTATCAAATCAAAATAAAATGTGCATACTTTGTTAGACGATCCACTACAACCCATATAACATTATGCCATTGTCTCGATCTATAGAATTTTATAGCAAAATCCATCGCTACCTCTTCTCATTTTCACTCCAGAATAAATAACATTTGATACTTATTCCTTGTCCCCCCATATGTCATATTTTGTTATTTTCTTATAAGACAGTAAGCACCATGCCCCCCTAGTTAACAAAAGTAAACAAGTATGCCATAAGTCTATCTAATTAAGATGTGAGAAAAAATTAATATAGTCTAATCATACAACAAGTCAAACTGACAAAGAGATTGGTGCTCAAGAGTTTTGTTTGAAAAAATATAGATCACCAAAGAAAATAATTATTTTCTTGGATGCACCCTGACTGATTTTGTATGGTTATTCACCATCCAATTTAGTCGTAGTTGTAAGAGTTTTTTTTTTACTTTAATATGAAATAATTAAATTTAGGTTAAGCTAAATTTGATTAAACATTAATTAATTTTTAGCTAATTCTATCTAATCACAAATCATTTAAATTTAGTTAGGCTAGAATGGATAAAAGTTGGATACTTGAATTAATTTCAGAGTTTATTTTCTATTAGATATGGGAAAGAGTTGGATACTTGGATTACATCATTTATTTTCATTTAAGTTCATAATTCAAGTGAAGTTCATAAAATTTTAATGATTGTATTTATTTAATCACATGAGAATGGAAGGATTTGGAACTCAGAGTGCAGCTTCCAATTATAGTGTATGTGAGAAAGTGGACATTATATGAAATCATTTCACCGAGATTAAAGGAATTGATGGGAAGAGGCAATTCAAATGTTTGCATTGTCGTATTGCATACAAGGGAGGAGAAATAAATAGAATAAAACAACATCTAGTTTAAGGGGAACATAGCTTCTTGTAAGAAGGTTCTACATGATGCTCGATATTAAATGCAGAACTTGAAGGAGATATCAAAAAGAAAGTTAGTACGGGAGGAGTTGGACAATGCACAATTTCTTGTAGATGCTGAAGTAGAGGAAGGAAGAGATTCTTCTTCTTTATCTAAATCAAAATCCTCTGAAGCATATTTATCAGAACTTGCTAAATGAAAATATAAAGCTTGGTGAGATTGACACATTCTTTATCCCAAGAATAAAACCAGGTTCCCAACCTTTAATTAAAAGTGTCTTAGCATTTAAAGGAAGAATTCACCATGTAGACATAGATGTAGCAATATAGTTTTTCGATTGTTGCATCTCTTTCAATGTCTTAATGGTATAGCTGTTATAGGTTTTGGTTACAAGCTCCCCTCTTACCAAAACATGAGATTTAACCTACTTAATGATTGTAAAGAGGAGTATAGTTTACTGATAGCTACATAAATATACTTGGAAGGACATAAGTTGTACTCTTATGGTAGATGAATAGATTGATGGTAGGAACATAACATTAATAAATTTTCTGATTTATTATCTACGTGATGTATCTTTTTTGAAATCAGTGGATGCTTCAGTTATCATTATGGATGCTACAAACTTGTGCTCCTTATTTGCTGAGGTTGTTGAGTGGGTAGGGCCAGAAAATATTGTTTAGCTTGTTACTGATAATGCTGCTAATTACAAGAAAGCAGAAGAATTTTTAGATGAAAGATTCAACAATATCTATTGGTCACCTTGTGCTGCACATTATATGAATTTAATTTTAAAAGATATGGGCAGTATGCTTCTCATAGAGGACATAGTAAGGAAAACATTAAAGGTGACGATTTTGTTTATAATCATATTTATGTACTTGCATGACTTAAGAAATGCTAGGTTGGAAGGAGATTGAACGTCCAGCAGCCACACATTTTGCAACAATTTTCATAACTTTGAAAAGTATATGTTAGCATAAACATGACCTCTAAACATTAATTACTAACAAGTTCTTCACAGATTCAAAGATATCCAAAACCTGTAAGGGGAAAGAAGCAGCTGCAATTATCTTATATTTGAAATTTTGGAATGATTATTTAACAATTTTGAAGATAGTTGGTCGTTTGATCAGGTTGTTGCGTATTGTTGACTCAAATGAGAAACCATCACTTAGATATCTTTGTCGTATAGGGCATGGAAGACAATCAAAACTATGTTTAGAGATATTAAAATATCATATAAGCCATTCACTAGTATAGTTAAAAGAAGATGGGATACTCAATTGAGGTGGGGTATCCATACAACAACATATTTTCTGAATTCTCAATTTCAGCACGACAAAGAGAATTACTGTCACATGCCAGAAGTTATGCAAGACCTTGTTAAATTACTTGGAAATAGGGCACTTTTCCTAAGTCTACACTTGTAATCAATAAGGTCAGATTATTTCGTATGGCTTAGAAAGTTTTGGAAAACTAATTGTTCTAATGGTGACAAAGGAAATGCTTTAGAGATTTTTTTTAACTATATGTATATTTAAAAAGCTCTCTAATATCATATTATTTAGATGAGTGGTGGAAGATATTTGGATTAATTATTCCCAACTTGCAGAAAGTAGCTATACAAATTCTAAGGCAAACATTGTTATCATCAGGTTGCGAAAAAAATTGGAGTGTTTTTGAACAAATTCACTCAAAGAGAAATATGAATGTATCATTTAAATAAAATAAAAAATGTCACTAAATTTATTGTTTCATTTTTTAGGTTTTAACCAAAAAATGAAGTTATGATCTTCTGGACTACGCTTGTATTGAAATGATAGATTTCTTGGTGCATGATGATGAATCACCATCAGATCTTGACTTAGAGGAGTTGAAACTGAGATATACAAAGAGAGTGCATTGTCTGTTGTTGAAGAAGAAGATATGAATCTATCATCCACTCAGTCTACACATAGTAAGTTGTTAGTGAAATATGAATGTATCATTTAAATAAAATAAAAAACAAAATTTTATTTTATATTTCTTATTTTTTGGTGAAGGTGAACTAGAGAATAAAGGAGATGGAGGTGACGTAATTGGCTTAAATGATTTATATGCATTTGGGTATGCAGATTTTGGTGAAGCGAGACTTGGAAACTCAACTTATTAGGATAGCTTTCATAAGGAAAATTTAGGAGTCACGGGATGGCAGGACCATCTCGTGCAGGAACCTGGAGCCATAAGGTGTGTCGTTTGGTGTTGCTGTTGATGTTATAGTTACTCTCCATTTATTAGATTAGTTATAAATCCTACTTAAATTATTTTTGAAATATTTATTTGTTTTTTATAGACTAAATTGATGTTACATTTGTGTTATGTGTTTTTTGTTTATGTTTTGTAGACTTAGTTGTTGTATTATTAGTTTGTTTTGAGTTGTCACATATACTTAATGAATGCCAAAATAGTGCCATGAGAATCATAGGATGTTAAATGACTATGGAGGTGAAGCTAATTTTATTAATTTTTAATGATATTATTATTTATTACATCATCCGATTTGACCCTAGTTCGATCAGTCGAACTGTGAATCTCTCCTTCTCCGGATTCGTTGTCTGGTCCGATTTTCACGACCTTAAAAAATATATGACATGGATATGAGTTGGATATGTTATTATAATTTTTATAAAGTACATTTTAAAATAAAATTGTAATAAAATATCAGGACATTTGCGTTCTATTTTATTTAAATATTATGTTAATTTGACACGCTATCTCCATGTGTGACTTATGTTCAAGTAGTGTCAGCAAATGTCCATGTTTGACACGTATCCGAAGTTGTATGCCATTTTAGGAAGGAGTGTCAGTGTATCATAGCTTTGGACTAACAAATGCTCTGACAGTATTTATGGATATGATGAATGAAATTTTTAAGCCTTAATTTGATTAGTTTGTCATAGTGTTTATTAAAGATATTTAGGTTTATTTTAAGAATAATAATGATCACACCATTCTTTTGAATATTGTTTTGAGTTTGCTGAGAGATTATAAGGCATGATTAGTAAATACATTCAGAAGTTATTCTCTAAAGATTTATTTGTGAAGGAAAATAAATTTCCGTAACTGACTTACAGTCCTGGATTTATATTTAAAAGTTCTTCTCGAAAGAGTTCTTTGTATGAGTAAAATAAATTTGCATAATCGACTTACAGAGTTGGATTATGATTATAACTCTATGCATGTAGGAATTTTCTGTGCATGCTTGAGTTTTAATTTCTTTTGTTTTATGGTGAATCATTTTTTTGTCAAATTTTGTTTTGTTAGATAATCTTTTCGGTAATATTTTTTAACATTACTTTGGACTTCTGCAACTTCTACTTTTTTATTAACTGTGCTAAACTCTTCTGTCCAGGTGAGATACTATACACCTTCACAATTTTGACAACCCGTTCCTCAACGTCCTTGGAATGGCTTCATGGTTAGTGATTCTATATTTTGTTTCAACAACAACAACAACAACAACATCAAGCCTTTATCCCACTACGTGGGGTCGGCTACATGAATCCTTTTTCTCCATTGTGTCCTATTAAAAGTCAAATTCTCGTTTAAATCTAATAAAGAAAGGTCATTCCTAATATTTTCTAACCAAGTCTTTTTAGGTCTACCCCTACCTTTCTTAACATAAGTCAAATCTAATACCTCTACTCTCCTAACCGGGTCATCGCAAGGCCGCCGTTTTATGTGACCAAACCATCTAAGGCGACTTTCTCTAATCTTATCTTCTACTGGAGCTACTCCAACCTTTTCACGTATATGCTCATTTCGTATCTTATCTCTAAGGGTAAAGCCACTCATCCACCTGAGCATCCTCATCTCTGCCACACTTAACTTAGTATTATGCTTCTCTTTTAAAGGCCAACATTCGGCACCATAAAGCATTGCAGGCCTCACTACCATCTTATAGAATTTTCCCTTAAGTTTGAGGGGTACATTTCTATCACATAACAAGCCCGATGCATTCCTCCACTTCAACCATCCAACTTGAATTCTGCTGATAATATCCCCATCTATTTCACCATCACTCTGAACAATAGATCCAAGATATCTAAAACGTGTACTCTTATTAATGACTTGATCGCCCAAAGTCACAATCCCCTCACTAGGTCTATTATTACTAAAATTACACTCCATATATTCTGTTTTAGATCTACTCAAGCGAAAACCTTTAGACTCTAAGGTTGACCTTCATAATTCAAGTTTACCTTCAACTCCCTCTCTAGTCTTGTCAACAAGAAGAATATCATCAGCAAAAAGCATACACCAAGGTACATCCTCTTGCAAATGTCTAGTGAGAACATCCATGACTAAAGCAAAAAGATATGGGCTTAAGGCTGATCCTTGATGTAACCCAACCGAAATAGGGAAATACTTGGTCAATCCACCTTGTGTTTGAACACAAGTAATAGCTCCTGCATACATATCTTTAATGATTTGAATATAAGCATTATTGACTCCTTTCTTTTCAAGAACTCTCCATAGCACTTCTCTTGGAACTTTATCATATGCTTTTTCTAAATCAATAAATATCATATGTAGATCCTCCTTATTTTCTCTATATTTCTCCATCAAACCTCTTAATAAATGTATGGCTTCCATAGTCGACCTACCCGGCATGAATCCAAATTGATTTTGAGAAACATTAGTATCACGCCGCAACCTATGCTCCAAAACTCGCTCCCATAGTTTTAAAGTATGACACATTAACTTAATACCTCTATAATTCGCACTTGAACTAAATTTATTTCAATAAGTTACCAGCTAAATGGTTTTGCAATTAATGCAAAAAACTTAAGCACAGTAAATGTGGTTAAAGAAGAGCCCTAAAAATCCATTTTACACATCGTTTCCTTGCATACAGGCATGGATTCACCTGATCAAGGGCTGTAGTCAATGGCTGCATAATTGGCACCATAATTTAGAATGACCAAATGTTTTGGTTGTAGTGCAAGGTAATTCATTTTATATTTAAGAAATTAAAAGTTGACTCCATTGGAAAGTAAGAGATTGAAAATATAATATAGAGAAATACTTGTTTATATGTATATCCTCATAATTGAGTTTATTCTCTTCCATATTTCCTTCCGATTGTTCTTTATATCTGTATACATTCTTCTTGGTCAATAATGTATAACAAATTTCCCTACTCTATCATGTATCAAAGGAGGGATTCCTGCCCTTTACCTTATGCGTTTGATTACTCTTGAACTTGATAGCATGAATCCTAAAGATGTATCGGAGTTGGATAATCTGATCAAATACATTTCTCACTAATACCCATCCTGAATTACATTCATCACAATCAACCCAGTAAGAAATTAATCTGTTCTGACTATCACAACAAATACTGTACTCAAGCTATTAGATTATATCTCATGATTAAATGTTCAGAAGAACGCATAATATTCAACAATACAAATACATAATTATACTAAATAAACATCAAATAAAATTTTACATTCCTGAAATCATTAATTTATAGCTTACTGACCAGCCTTCTATCTATAGCCAAAATTGTATACCCAAAAAAGGTCTATGTACATGGTGCAGTCAATCACCTGCCTAAAGCCCCGCTAGCTCTTTTCCTTTCCCTGCAATATATCAATTGGTGAGTTAAATGCTCAGTGGGTTCTACTTAAGGATTCAATATTACTAGAATAAGAAATAATCAATATGCATGTTAGTTTTTGAACTAATGTCAGAGTCATAAGCAGAATCATATTATGCCTTAGATGCTTTAAAAGAAAAGTTCTTAATTAATAGATGTATATAACTTTGAAAAAATAAATATATTGTATCTCATTTTAGTAAATGATCAATGTATAGCAGTAAGTAATTGCTACATGAGATTTTCAAGTGTTCTCCCAATTTTGTTCTTATTTCATTCTTTGTTCACTGCTTCAGAAAAGTCATGTGATGACTATAGACTATACTCATAATAGGCAGTCAACTTGCCCGTCAGCTAACTATTTACTAATAATCCCTCGCTCCAAGGCTAGATTTTAACATACAAACTTTTTAAAATTTTGAGTTAGGTACCTCATGTATGGTTCTACTAAGGCTAATCTTATTAGTTCTTTTACCTTTTCTTGTGTAGGTACATTAGCTAGCCTATCCTCCATATCATGACTTTTATCAAAATTTAATTATCAATCATATTTCTGATACTTATACAGACTTATTGGGCATGGATATATACTGATAACAATTGAACTATTATAGTAGAGGCGTCAAGGATATAATGTGACAAGAAACCATCATCACGAATCTGGAACATTATGCTTACGAAATAAATTCCTTTTGAACATGTAATCATAAACATACAAATTTCCATTGTCATTGAAATCATTTAACACTGCCATTGTCTGGTTCCAAACCCTGAATGAGATAAGTAGAGAGTTGTGTTAAGTAGTCGATAGCCAGCGTAAAACTTGCCTGATAATCATGACATGAATCTCTTGATATATTGTGTTCCTATGTAGTGGGATAAAGACTTGATGTTGTATTGAAATTACAAACAATTGCTGAATAAGATAAAATTTTATAGAAGTTAGAACTTCAATTTTTTTGCTTCATGTGTAAGAGGTTGAGCTTCCCTCCTTGAGGCATGTTCTTATTTTTCTACCTCTGAAGTTTCGACTTTGTATTAACTACTTAAAAATGTTGATTTCATTAACTTATAATGCTTTCTGTATGCTACCTTTTAATTAAACATAAAAATAATCTTAAATAGTTTATTATCTCAAAATACATCCCCCTCATTCATGCTTCTTATCCCCACAACATGAGTCAATTGTGATTGAAACTTACGTACCTAGCCTCTTCTTTCTTATTTCCTTCCTTTTCTTCTTATTCTTTCTCTTCATTTCCTTTTATGTTATCTTGTTTTCAGCCGCTACAGCCTTTATGATCCTCTCCTCACGGCTTGCTCTCCGCAAGTTGTTGTCCTTTACGGGAGTAGGGTGAATAAAATTGATTTAATGCTTTATATATATATATATATACATTTATAAAAAAATTCAAAAATAGTTATTGGATTGTTCATCTATGACTAATTTAGTTCCAGAATATCAGGTTGCCTCAATTTAACCCATCAATTATACAAAATTAATCCAACATAGTCCCTCAAATTATAATTGTGAGATTAAATTGATGGCAATGTGGATGGAGAATTATTTCGAGACATAAGCGAGTGGCACTGGAGGCTCAACATTGCCTAAGGGTGACACCCTCCCGTAAAGCGAGTCAGTTGAGCTTCAAAGAGTTGGGTTTGCCTGAGACGAGTAATGTTCTGCTTTTATGGTGAGGTTCCTTCTGGTTGCCTGCATAGGGCGAGTTCTTTGAGTGGATGGGGGTGAGTGGCTCCCTATCCTTGGCGAATTCTTCTGGGGGCTTTGGATGAGTCCTCTAAGGCATTTTCTCTTTAGATGGAATATCCCTGTCAAGATTTGGTTGCTACCTGTGAAGGCAATTAGGGATGTACATCAACTTCCAAAATCAGTGCACACACGTGCCCCACACAATTATACTTGTCACATACTCTTCGCATCCCCCAATTTTGTACTGTTTGTGCTTCTTTCTCACTCATGTTATTGTGCTGAGTCTTGATTGTGATCCCACGTCTGGATGCTGCATCTCTCTGATTGTAACATAACCGTGCACATCAATACTATTGCACACACTTATCAATTCTATTGCACATCTAAATTTTGTTACTTATATTGTCTACCCCTTTAGCGATCACGTCTGCCATGCTATGACTTTTTAGCTAGTGATTGCTGATCATTGCTATATTGATGCTTATTACTACCCACCCTCTTTTTAGGGGCTCAACTTTCTTACTGCACTCAATCGTCATTTCTAAGTTAACTCTTAGATTCTTTGTGTCTCTCTCCTTTGTTTCTCCTCCTGATGATTCAAAACTCTTATCCATCAGTAATAACATCATGAAATTTTTGTTATGACTCTTTAATATCTTGATATGCATCCTCCAACTTGTGAGGGCTGTCAAAATAGTTAATGACAAGTTATTATGCCCCACGTCGACCCCAATCCTAACAGTTGATGTGGGATGCAACAGAGGAAAAATCGTAAATAATTTACTTTAGATTTCGTAAGTCATCAAGATATAGAATAATCATAAAACATATCAAAACCTTCAATCATATATGGAAGCTGTCCAGCATTCATTTAAAATTTTTTGTCCGCTGAGCAACTATGAGAAATCTAAAATATTTAGCTATTAACAGACAACTGACCTAAATCCAAAATTTTCTTATATTGATAAATGCAAATATAAAAATTAAAATTGAACCTGTCACAACTTGGGATTAACCTTATCCTTTCCCTTCTTTGTAAGAAGTGCCAGAATAATAATTTGGTGAGTAATGATGCATATAAAGATATGCATCTTTAATATAG